TTTTTTGGATAGCGCGCGCACGCATCTGGATCTGTCCGCGTCCAAGTGCATTTGAATTCGAGCCAGTGAATTAGCTTGCTGGTCGGGTAGCATCTGTATCAACTGATGAGAGAGTGAGGAATAGTCCACGAGCGGGAATGAGAACGAAAGAGGAGAACGTGACTGTTGGAGTAAATGGGAGAGAGCCAATTAGAGAGAGTCGAGGTGAGGGACTGTGCAGAGTGAGTGTGTGAGAGAGGGTCCTTTTGTTCGTTTTTATTATTGTTATTATTATTTATTTATTTATTTATTTTATTGCACTCACCTGGCTCCTACCATATCAGATTTGTTGAACGGGAGAGCGCATGGGTGAGAGTAGAGTGAGTGGACTTGAGAATTTGAAGGGTGGTATGGAGAGAGCTGAGGGCTGATCTGCCCGTTGTTCCTACTACTTGAGCACATTCTGAATATTGGACATTTATCTGCCCGCTGATCAGCCCGTTCTATCATCCTCTGGACTGTTGACGTAGAGAGAACTGAGGGCTGATCTGCCCGCTGCCAATACTACTGCCCGCTAGAGCTATCCGCATACATGGGGGAAATCAAGCAGTGATTAGCCATTCCATCATCCCGTTCACATGGAGAGAACTGAGGGGCTGATCTGCCCCTGCCACTACTACTTGAGCCCATTCTGAATATTGGGCATTAATCTGCCCGCTAGAGCTATTCGCATACATGGGGGAAATCAAGCGGTGATTAGCCATTCCATCATCCCGTTGACATGGAGAGAACTGAGGGCTGATCTGCCCGTTGTTCCTACTACTTGAGCACTTTCTGAATATTGGACATTAATCTGCCCGCTGATTAGCCCGTTTTATCATCCTGTGGACTGTTGACGAAGAGAGAACTGAGGGCTGATCTGCCCGCTGCCACTACTACTGCCCGCTAGAGCTATCCGCATACATGGGGGAAATCAAGCGGTGATCAGCCATTCCATCATCCCGTTCACATGGAGAGAAGAGGGGCTGATCTGCCCACTGCCACCACTACTTGAGCCCATTCTGAATATTGGGCATTAATCTGCCCGCTAGAGCTACTGCCCGTTTCAGCTACCTGCACACATGGAGAAAATCGAGGGCTGATTTGCTGAAGCTTCTGGTTCGGAACACTGGAACTTCGAGTTTTGATCTGGCCGTTAGGGCTGTGCAGATACACGACCGATCGTAGTTGATTGGTCTAATGTAACAGCTCACACATATRAGAGAGTATGGGGAGAATTGCCCCGCTGCCATCGGGATCAGTTAAAGTTTCCCGTTGGCATTGGAACCAGTTACCTTACCACATTCGCTGATCAGCCAATCAAGTTTCCCGCTGCTGTCGGGACGGATTATTTTACTACATTCGCTGGTCAGCCAATCGAGTTTCCCACAGCTGTCGGGACTGGTTATTTTACTATATTCGCTGACCAGCCAACCGTTTTCCCCAGCGCTGACAGGGCCGGATTGGTGACTGGTGAATCTCTAATTATCAGATAATCGATCGATCCTACTGTTGGTGGGTTCGGCCACTTATGATGAATAGCTCATCAAGACTGCAATCAAGCAATCCCACTGACAATGTGACCGTCCAGTTTGCTGAGCGGGCAATCAAGTATCCCCGCTACCGGCTGAAACCACTCGTTTTCATTTCCTGCTGCTGTTCAGACAAAGGTAAGGGGTAAGAAATTGCACGCAAAATGAAAGAGCGGGGGAGAGTGACAACGGACGTCAATGAGAGAGAGAGAGRGAGAGTGACAGCGCAGCCGAATGAGAGAGAGAGACGAAGAGTGACAGGGCAGCAGAGAGAGAGAGAGTCTGTGCTCACGAAGCTTGAGAGTGGGAGAGACTATTCGCACAAAGGATGAGAGGGAGAAAGCCTGTGCTCACAAAGGTTGAGGGAGTGAGCCGCGCGCATTTCTTTTTTTTATATACCTTCTTTTAATGTTATTTTATTTTATTTTATTTCTTTTTTTTTTTGCAAGTATCTGTGCTAAGGCGAAACAGCTAAACCCCTTTGAATCGTTCCAAGCCTGGATTAGGAGCCTGCCTGAAAATGAGGAATACTTTAATTGAGAGAAATAATTAGTTGTTTTCCCGTGCCCTGATCATGATACAAAGCTCATCAATGAGCGGACGCTGTGACAGGCGGATCACAAAAAGAACCCTGCTGGTCGCTGAGGACCTCGGAAGCGGGCGCAACGAGTGACAGGCGCTGTTGCCCCTGGCTTCAGCGAACGGTAGGCGACCCCTCCCCGGGTTTCCTCACAACGTAATCAGCCCGCATTGGGGTCTACATTGCCAGGCATATCGTTAAGCACATAAGCAACACACTATCTCCAACTGAGTGAGTATTCATATGCGATTGCCATTGCGTAAAGATGGCTGAAGAGGCCCCTCCCCTCCCCTCCCCTCCCCTCTTCAGAGAAGTGAACTTCCGAAGTCGTCGTCGCAGATGTGATCTCAGATAGCTTTCAGGAGTGTGTGAGTGAGTGATCAGGTGAAATGGTGATTGCCCATTTCACTCTTATCCCCTGCAGTTCCGAATTATATACAGCTGCTGGCCGTCTGCAGGGTACCAACCTGATCCACCTGTGCAGGGTACCAACAGGTTGAGTGAGGGTTCAAATCCCATTCTTCCACTAACTTCAGGGTAACAACCTGATCCAGCTGGGCATGGTAACAACAGGTGGAGGGTTCAAACTTCACATCCCATTTTTCCACTCAGGGTAAAAAGTTGCTAACAGCCTGCTAAGGTAAAAAGTTACTAACAGCCTGCTAGGGTAAAAAGTTACTAACAGCCTGCTAGGGTAAAAAGTTACTAACAGCCTGCTAGGGTAAAAAGTTACTAACAGCCTGATACACCTTGGCAGGGTAACGACAGGAAGGTCCAAATACCTTTTCCTGCTTGCTGGGGGAAAGAAGCTGATCCACCAGTGCAGGGTAACAACCGGAAAAAAAAAGAAAAAAAAAAAAAAAAAAAGGTAACAGCCTAACTAATAAAAAGTCAATAAATTAAGAAATTTAGAATAACCCAGAGAAGCTTGGCATGCCACTTGCTCGTGGAGCGAGACGGTACTGTCTTTCCCCGAATAGAACGTACGGTCACTACCACTGCAACTAGACTGAAATTTACCCCCAGTACAGGCATAATGACCGTCCATTCTATTCGGGGGGGGGGGGGAAGACGGTATAGGAAAAAATAGATGATCCAATGATTGGCAAATCTCTGATGCTGTACGGATGCCGTTCAACTTGACTAAATGGATTAGACTAAATGGATAAGTACAGGATCTCTAAATTTTCTGAGGATGATTTCGTTTTGTTACCCTCCACAAGTGCCCCCCCCCTCCCACCCCCCCCTCCCAAATAGCATTCAATAATTGATAAGAGTCTCTACAACTATTATGGATAATAATACAGACAAGGGATCTCCTGCTGCGGCACTGGCCATGACACCACAAGGTGAGAGAGAATGGGAGGAAGGGCAGGCCGGAAAACGACGAAGTACTTTTTTTCCAAGCGAAACAGTCAAAAAATAGGCAGCAAACTCTGGGGGGAGTGCCCACGGGGCTACAACCCTGCCGCTTATGGCTTGAGCCTTCATCCATTTATTTATTTATTATTTTATTATTTTATTATTTTATTATTTTATTTATTTATTTATTTGTTTATTTATTTTTTTGGGGGGGG